TCGTCAACAGAAGGGTGTAATTAATTGTTTGCTTTCCCAAGTCGCGTGCCAGCAGCGGCATGCGGTTTGTCTGCTTCGGATGTGACATTATTCGCCACACGTCCATCCCTTATTGGCTGTTACGTCGGTATTCCAGCACGTTCTGACATTACTTGTGTAAGAAGAGCTCATGATGACTAGTCCATACTGGCATAGGCTGATGTCCAGTTTTGTCAGTAGCTTTTTCCGGGAGTAGGGAAGCGTCCAGGATGGAGTGACCCTCGGTGCCGAGGAAAGGATCACCTCGGGGGACAAGGGGCGGTGTGTTCCCGAGGTACATGGTGACCGAGGACACATGTCTTTGTATACTGTACCGAATATGTGATCCTATATGAGAGGTACCTCGGGGAGAGGAAGCTTTGCCGATGGTGCTTGAACCCGAGCAACATTGTTCTAGAAACCCCCCGAGGACACGTGTCTTCATCATAGGCTTTTTCAGAAGAGTCTTCTACACTTTTCTGTTCGTAAACTTTTTTTTTCCTCCATTCTTCACTGATCTCCCTTTCCACCTTCCTTATTCGTGTCATATATAGAAAGAAATTCCGGAGATATTTTCTGTCCATTATATGTTACTTTTTTTTAAGTAAATATTCCTATTATGTCATGTTACTATTTTTTTAATCAACCATATTACTATTTCTTTTCATATTATTATTTTTTATTGAACATGTTATTATTTTTTAATTTTACTTTTTTGATGTTGAAGAATTTGAGATTTCTTCTTCTGATTATGGGTTTGAATACTATTATTTTTATTTTTATTTTTGTTCAATATTCTATATTGCTATTTTTTTTTGTTAAACATATTACTATTTTTATTGATCATGTTAGTATTATTATTTTTTAAAAATATTAATATTGAATGTTACTATTTTTTTGTTTTTAAATAAAATTATTTTTGTATTTAAATAATAACTTTTTTTTTGTATTTGAATGTCCTAACTTATATATGAATATAGATAGATATGAAAGAAAAAATTTTAATATTAGTCAAACTCCTAAAATATAAGAGTTTTTAATTTTTAATTTTATTTTAAGAGAAATGTTAGTCCAGTAAAATTGAAAAAAAACAAATTTCATAACAAATAAATATCCTTCACGGATTTAAATCCAAACAAGTTCGTTCATATAAGAAGACCGGCCTCCAAATTTTTCAAAAATTTATTTTCTAATCGCCCAAAAACTTTCTTATTGTGCATCACACAAAGCCTATCAGAATGGTACAAACAATTGAATAAAATCCACTAGGTTCTAACTTATTAAACCAAGCCAAGGTGGATCGATAAACCACCCTCATGCCCAACTTAGCATATACTTTTGGATTTGCACCAACTTTTAAGGATGAAAAAGGATATCAATTTGCCATGCATAATAAACTATTTCTAGGATTCAGATACCATTTGCATTAATTAAAATTGAACAAAAATATAAGGATAGTATCTAAATACCCATTTTCATGGGTTTTCAATATGCAATAAGTTTTTAATTTGTCAGGCACTACTACAAGAAAGTAGAACGCCGAGATTCAGAACCATGAACCTTCAGATCCGACACTGAGACTCAGACCCATGAACCTTAAAATCCAACAGCAGGCGGTTGGCTAATAGATCTTGACTCAACATGTGCTGTTGTTCAACTAAGGGAAACAATTCAAGGCTGGTGCAAAACCAGTAAAACATTTTTAAACTGTCACCAGCACATGCAAAAGACATCAGGCAAAACTCTTTTTTTTTCAAAACAGCCCATCATCTTTCTCTTGTGAATCATCGTCAAGGCACCAAGTCAAAAAACACAGATTATATTTCACTGCTAACGTGAGTTACTTAAGAAAAACCCTCTAATGGCAGATGCCCATTAACTGTCAAGAATTGCCTTAACATCTACTAGTCATTTACAAGCTAGACCAATCAAAACTTCTAGTAGAACAAGATAGAGATACTTGAATGTCATACATTTTGGATCCACTCTGCAATGGAATGAGTCGTGTAGATCCACTTTGTAGTTTTCACATCATATATTGCTTTTCAATATACAAAAACAAGCAAAAGAATCAATGGCTCAGAATAAACAGACAAACAAGCACCATAATATCCTGAAAAAGAGAAACCAGCACCACAAAATGCCAAACCGAATACAAACCAACAAAAGTCGACGAAATTCCATCAGTGATATAACCCCTCACAGAGATTCCATGAAGGTTAACCCCACAAACTGGGAATCTACATCACCCAGTGCCACTGACGCTGATATCAACAAAATATAATGTTCAACACCGAAAATTCTCAATAGTTAAAAAGAGTATTATGTAAGCAGTACAATATGAAAACACTTCCACAAAATACCCAAACAACTATTTTGAAACACAAACCATAGTGTATTATCTAATGGATTCATTTCTAGATGAAATGAAAGTAAGTACGAGAGAGAGATTTGGAGAGGCGACAATTTTCACTTAGCAGTTATATTTTGCTGAGCCTGGTTCTCCTGTTGCTGCTGCTGATAGTTGAGAGGCCTCCTGAAGAGCATGATGTGAGGCTCTGGTCGGTGGATCGCGTAGTGGACCCACCCTCGGCTCTGCTGGACTCCAATTGCACGCCATTCATTCTAATCAAGAAAATTCAACAAACAAGAAATCCATGGACTTTGAGAACCATACAAAAGGGTTACCTCCATTAAAACATTTCGAAAGAAAGAAAAACTTGTATCTCTGTTGGGTAACCAAGAAACATAAAGAAATACAGATAATTGAGAAAGTTTAGATACTTAAAATTGCGAATTTTGTGGATGCCAAGTTAATTGTACGAAAACCCCAATTTCTTTTCGATTCAATCCTTTTTCTAAGGAACCAAACAAAAAACTCGTTCAAGTAAAATAAAGAAATCAAGCAAAACCACGGACTAAAACCCTAATTAAAGGTGGTCAAGTCAAAACTCACTTCGGAGAGAAGCCGATTCTTTGGAAGCAATTTGGCCACTTCAGGAGGGAGAACCACATGCCTGAGATATCAAAACAATCACCAAAACCACGTCAGTTACAAAACAAACTCAATTATCCAAGAATGTGCGAAATTGAGAGAAAATAGTAAAAAAAAATCAGTCACCTGTACTCGTAAGTATCATCAAAGTACTTCTCAGAATACTGGATCTGACCCATTTCTCACTGTTCTGTTTCGATTCACAATCACAGAGAGAGAGAGAGAGAGAGAGAGAGAGAGAGAGAGAGAGAGAGAGAGAGAGAGAGAGTGGCGAGAAGTTGAGTGTGGATGCAATAGGCCGACGGAAAGGCGTAATAAGAGGGGAGAGACTACAGAGTGTTGAGGGCAGAAAAGGAAATACATTTTCTTAATATGATTTTTATTTGTGGAATTAAAAAAGGAAATAGAAAAATTAGTAGTGAACGGTTTGAATTTCAAATTTTGAAAATTTTGCCGCTTTATCTTCCTTTGCACTTACTTAGTAATGGGTGCTATATTACCGTTAATCAACACTTGTTTTGAATCTTTCACCATATAGGTTTAATCTAGACTACTCCTTTGTACTTATGTTTTTGAATCTCTCACCATATAGGTATGCTATTCACAAATTTTAATTAAGCATTCTTACTAGTTTGGACGAAATAAATAATTTCGCATTTATTTAATTTATTTATCTAGAAAAAAAAATAATTTCAACAATGGAGTCATATATCAAGGGTGTATTTAATCACCTTAATGGTGACCAAAATACAAAATTAACATTTTCTATTGCATACATCACACACAACACCTAAGAGCAACTCCAATCATACTCAATAAATGACTAGACAAATTATATTTAAATATTGTATTCTTTATTTTAGTTGACTAATTCAACTAATTTTTAATAATATAATTTAAAAATTCAACTCAAAACATGTATAATCATCAACCTAATCAAAATCATACCATAATAATAATTTTAATCAAACTTTAAATAATACAATTTAACACTCATCCACTTTAAATAACAAAAATCAATCGCACAATACGTCTCATAAATCTAAGATTTTTCGAAATATTTACATTAATATTTCATATGGTCTAAATGTAAATATTCTATTATACATAAAACTAAGGGAGTTTTTAAAATTTTAGGCGGGGTTTCAGAATTTTTTTTTTTTTGGGGGGGGGGGCGGAGGGGTTCAGTAATAATAGCCGAAGGCAACGAGTAATCCATATTCCAGGCAGAAGAGCAAGAGAAGGGAGAGATCAGAGGAAAGTCCTAAATTTCTTCACAAGGATCAACAAGAAGGATCAAGGCAGAAGCAGAGGAACGAGAGGAGGAGGAGATGAATACCTAATTCACAGCAAATCTGGCGAGCAAATTTATCCTCTCCAGATCTGGCGAGCAATTTGACTTCCTAGATTTTGGCCAAGTGGATAGTTAAGGCGTTGGAGCTAAATTTTTTAGGGTTACTCACCAAAATAGCTAAAAGGAAGGAGTAGCGAGGGGCGTTGAAAATGCTCCAAGTCTCTGTATTTAATTAAATGGAATCCCAAAATACATTATCCTCAAACTCAGCTATTTGTTTGGATATATATAGAATTGAGAATTTTGTGCCGGTGCTCAACCCAAGTACCAATAATGTGTCAACTTCTATGTAGTCGTTCACACATACACACAAGATTTTTCCCCAGTCAGTTAATTTAGGAATCCAAAACATAAATAACAAGCAATTCCTGTCTAGGTTAAAGAGGAAACTATCCCAAAGACCTTAAAATAAATTTCAAGCCCCAACTCTAAGTAACCCGATGAATCTAATCCCAGCAATCTAAGGATCAACACATACTACTATAGATTTGTTGCTTATTTATTTTTATAACGATATATATCCCGACGTCTTTTTGGATGGCGCGTGTCTACTTTACGTCTCTACTTTTTAAGTATTCAGATAAAACTTTGTAATTCAGAACTCCATGCAATTATAGAATCACAAAAGAACACAACTCTAACAAGTAATGGGACCCTACTCAAAATACAATGATATCGCATTGATTCCTAGTTCTGAGGTATATATATATATATAGACAGAAACCTTCAAGAAATTTTTCTCTCAAATGAACAATGGCACCTATTCATGCAGCCATGTAAGGAAAATTTGCCATAATTTCTATTTGCCGCCAAAAAAATGTCAGCTTGCAAGGTGGTGAAGGAATCCATCAACCCTATCTGTACATATCAAAAACAAAACTTGGACCCTGTAAGCTATCACCTCAAAGGCATGGCATGAAGTCGGCTACTAGCTTCAAAAAGTTGCCACACAAAACCATCCATTGATTCAGTGCTACATCAGGACCTGGAGACTGACTTATGCAGCATTGATGTCCCTTGAAAGACCATCATCTGGTAATCTCTCCTATATTGCTTCAGCTGGAGGGAAAAGATCACATGCATAAACAATATATTCAGGTGCCCCAAAAGGAAACACACAAATAAATGCACACGCACCTGGTCTTCAGTAATCTTCTTGAAACCAAACTTTTTTATCCATATGGATTCTGCTTCATCAGCAGCCGGAAGCACAAGGTTTCTCACATTAAGAGAGTCAAGAAGGTTTTCAATGCAAAAGAATAACAACTGGAAATAACCCTGCAACGGATATTTTCCTAGAATCAGTATAGCTGCAACATTCATTAAAAACATAACCAGCTTCAGTTGTTGGTATATTGCAGTTGGTGCAGTTATGCTTAAATGGTTTTTTTTTTTTTTTGGGAAATACGGAACTATATGAATAATGGAGAAATTCCATGAAAGAAATATTAATGATTCATATAAATTACTTAGGGGGAAATGTCCCGAATAAATCCAATGAGTGACTAATAATCCTGTGATACAGAAAAAAGTAGTCCCCTGAGAGAGAGGGGGGTTGAATGGGGGAAGGGGTGAAGGAGCAAGAAAAGAGGTTATCAGACCACCACTCAATATGCTCACCTGTCCTTGACTATCATTACTTGTTGCAACCAGAGGAAGTTCTGCCACTACGCTTCCAAAAATACGAATAACCCCAGATGACACAACCGATGAGCTGCATATTGGACATCAATTTGATTCAGTTCTGAATTCATATGCAAAAAGAAGCTATGTGATGCATTGAAAATCAATTCTCACTTCACAGTTAATATTGCACAATACATCCCTCCAAAATCTTGGTCCCTCGAGTTCCTTCTGCAGAAACATAAAAGAAAGGTAAAATCACAAGGGAATTATAAAGGACACTACGTGCTACACAAAGAAATCAAGCAACATGGCACGTAACAAGTAAAATATAAAAAAAACATTACTCCTTACCCATAAACCATGTTTGGAATAAGATCAAGACGGCTGGTGTCCGATTCAGCAATTGGATCAAATTGCTCCTACAGCACAAGAGTTTCCTCAAATCAAGACAATTATCAACAAATAACATAACAGACCTAGGAACAATACAGCAGCCAAAAAAGTTATTTAGCATCATCCAAATAACTGATGAAATACAAAAAGAGAGAAGAAATTGGAGATGGTTTATTCTGGTATATTATACGTTTGGAATAATTGAAGGCATATGACAGACTCAAGAAGTAAGCATGCTTCGAGTACAAGTTGTCAGATACAATTACAAAAAATGAGTTTCTGGGCCAAGTGAACCAAGCCTTTAAAAGTGTACCTTATGGTTCTCTTTGACTCTGAAATGAATAATTTCAGTCAAAAGAGTCCATTATCAAAGGGTTCTCTTTGATTCTGAAATGATATAAACAAGAAGATTGAAAGATAAGCACACAAACCGGAGTAAGCCCAGCTAAGTGATGTACCTCCAGAATTGGAGTTGGAGGTAAAAGCCCCAGCAAAGCTATTGAGTCCCCTAAGCTGATTATCTTGCATTGGCTTAATTTGTACAAGTTTATTGCTGAAAGCCGTCTGTAAGTAGAGGTTTATTTTTGTCTTCCTTAATCTAAAGTCTAGTGTTTGTCAGGTGTTCACAATTATTTATGTTCAAGTCCTCTTAGTCGCTTAAGGACATTTAGAGTCTTTAACTGATAAGAGAAATATCTAATATGGGCTTATCTCTATATACAGTTCTCCTATCCATCTCCATAAATAGCTATTATCCTATCAGAAGGTATGAGCAGTCATTCTACTTTTTCCGAAATAGTCAATTTTCCCAGCTCTCTTGAGTCAATATAAACCCTAGAAAACCCATGGTTGTGTTCCCCTTTAAGCCACTCTGTTCCTGCTCATATCCACATTCTACGCAATTAGCTGCTGTGTTCCCTATTTCCTGCACCAACCAGAAGCCAAACCTCATAGGAAATACTTGCTTGTTGTGACCGAGAATATAAAGGTTAGGTTGATACCAAAATACCTTAAAAATAACGATCAACCCAAGGTACCTGAAATCATTTGTTCCCCCAAATGCCCATCTCAAATGTAAATGAGATCAAGTAGATGGCATACATCATACAGCGTTTATCTCAACAGCTGTAATCATCTCATAAAATAAAGGAATCTGAATCTTTATGCCACTATTATTCTATTGCCCTATCTAAGCATGTCCCTAGGATTTTTATAGACATTTACACAACCAAATTTATTTTCGACAATTTTGGGCCGTACTAAACAACTTTCTAGAACTATTGAATACTTTTTCAAGGCAGGCTTAACAAATATGTGGATTTGTAATCACAGTTTCATGTTCAAAAGTTTCCAATTCAAGAAATTCAAAAAAATAGTTCAAAAAGTAAATTTCATCTTAATAAAACATACTTGGGAAGTTAAATAGCAAAGGGCAATCAGCAATTACTCACATGGAAGATAGCTACAGCATTGGAAAGCAACAGTCTAGATTCATCAGAAGCCATTTTCCCACAAAGAAGTCTCCATCTTACATCAAGATCAATACTGCCTTCTGAACCTTTTTCCTTTTGCTTCTTCTTTATGACATCCAGCAGGGAGTAGGGAAGCTTTTCCTCTCCATCAGCTAACAGTTTTTGCAGAGCAGAATGAATCCTATTGCAATCTGTGCCGCAGAACCATTTTCCCTTCGGCAATTCCTGTGATATGAACAATATAAATGAGTAATCCAGAAACCCTCTTCCTCAGCTAGGCTTGGGCAGCATAGCAGAGCTAATACAAATATTAGTAGCATATTGATCGCAGCAATTGCGACCTCATGGGAGAATCAATGGCTGCATCTTTGATGACTGACATTACTAGTACATCTCACATTTCAATATGTTCTTAGAAGACTAAAAAATTGTTTAACGTAGAAATTTTGAAGCATCACATGTTAATGGCACCTTTAGATCATCCACATTGTGCTCCTTCAAACAGCCAACATGATATTCCTTCTCACACTATAAGAAAAATGAGTGTCATTGTAATGATTAACCACTGAAAGCTACAACGCAATTGAAACCCCAAATATGGGGAAAAGACATAATGACAACAAGTGTATACCTGATCACAAAGAATGACTGTACGGGGGCCAAATCCTGATTTGCTGAAGTCATGTCCCCTGGATGCATCAATAATATGTACAAAAAAACAGTGTAAGGTCAAACAGATTTTTAGAAAACAGAAAGGGCTGGACAAAATTCAATTGCTCTACAAGTAATTGACACCAAGTACATGAAGAATGGAAGAATGCTACCATATATCAGCAGACTAATTATTAGGCATTAAAACTACTTTATTGAAACACAAATACTGCTCTTTCCTAGAACAGTATTTAAAATTTGTTTAAAAATATATGGTTGCCCTGATCAAGAAGGAAAACAAATTACCCTTACATAAGAGAGTGCTTCAATTGTTAAAGTAAAAGACCATTGACCAGCACAATATGACAAAAGACCCATGAGGGTGACCTTGCATCAGAAAGAAACTGAAATTTCGCTGTAAGAAGTTTATGACTATCGGCCATCGGACCATACATGAGATGGGATGATCTATTATAGCAATAAAATCATGCTACGGGAGTAACCTAAGAAGCAAGAAAACCACCGCCATTTCACCGAAATTTGCTCGATTCATTTTGATCTCATGATATTGTTGTTTGAGAATTTAAAATAATTAGATCCATGTTTTGTAGTTGATTATAATTTGAGTTTCCGATGCATATATGCATGCATATATATATATATACATATCTTAAGGTGTCCTCGCTATGTTTGTGCCCAAGTTATTCAAATAATTTCATGTTGGCAAGGCCATGTCGTGTCATATGCATTTGTGTCTATATCCATGCTTCTTAGGGTACAACGTGTATTTTTCCCAATACATTCACGATAGGCGTAGAGTGGGGGGGGGGGGGGGCATCCGAGGAAAGATGGTGTAGATCGAACCTGCACAACATGCATCCGCCAACCTCAGCCTCAACAGTTTCAACAATACGAATGCACCGCTTATTTAATTGTTCCAGTGCATCAATTCCTGCAACTCTTCCAGCAGCAACAGCATTGGCATTATGCTCCACAAACTTTTCTTTTTGGAACATATTCTCGCAATACTTACAGTACCACTTGCCCTGGGGAATGCTTGGCAGAGAGATGCACACTGCAATTGGCAAACCAAAAATTTTTATAACAATTTATGAAGGGAAGACGGAACTTTGTGTGCTGGGTTGTAATACAACAATTAAATAAAAAAAGACATATGACGAGGACATCTCCATCAATACGTTGTGTTAGAATTCAATACAACTTAGAGAAATGAACAAAAAAAAAAAGCTACTATAGAAAACACAAAAATGCACATAAGGCATAAGAAAGTGCGAGAAAGCATAAATATAATGCCTCAATGGCTTTATTCTCTCATATTAAATTATAGTTTGATAGTTCAACAACTCAAAAAAAATCACCTCATTTCATAGGAGAATGAATCATCAGGAGTATAAAGTCACAGCAAATCAATCAAATCCAAGTAGCCATAATCTAGAGAGACATTCACCTGTGTGAAAAGCCCTTGGGCAAGTATCGCAACACAAAAGATCCCCTCCATCTGCACATATGGAGCAAAGATCGTCATTTTCTTCTGCAGAAAACTTCCGATCTTTTGAAAGACTGATTGAATACTCATGGAGGGACACCCCATTGGACGTATATATGTATTGGAAACTGCCAAGACAAGACAAGCACTGGTATGAGCAACAAATGCTACTAATAGAAATTCAAAGACCTTAAAAAAATTGTTTTCTGAGACCTCCGACCTAATGATCAGGTGGTCATATACGCTGGCACTTGCCACTTATATCAGCTCATGTGGCAAAAAAAAATATGTTCATGACTACAAATGGCAGGGCCAATGTGACCACTCTTTTACCAAACCTTCAAAAAATTTGGAAATAAACACTCACGGTTTGCGCCGCGAAGCCCATCCAGCATGAGCTTCAAATTGCGAGGGGCTTACCTGTTCAAAAAGGTAAAGCAGGTCAACATAATATGCAGATAAAATATGATTTGCAGGCAATAATAGTACCTCACTGTTGCAGCACAAGCAGAAGATTCCAAAACCTTTCTTATAACCCTCAAGTAATTTCTGCCCAACAACAAATAACTAATCAGAAGGAAGTTGAATAAGGGGACATTATTGCCAAAGCTTATTCTATTGCTTCTGAGAAAAAAAATAACAGAGCACCTGATTGTCAGTGCATCTAAAAACAGCGAAAGTGTAAACATTTCCTTCCAATAAATACAACACGTCCCCCCCCCCCCAAAAAAAAAAAACAGAGACAGAGACAGAAAGGAAGAAGGCTGCCGATCTCAAATTGCAACAACCTGTCCACGACCATAATAACCTAATGCAGTTCCCTCAGGCAGTCCCTCTTCCTCAAATACCAACTTATGCATCCGCAGATCTCTGGACAAAAAGACAAAAACCAGTAAAGTTTTCGGTGCCCTGGGTAAAAAAAGCTCAAAGAAAAACATATACAATCAGACAAAAAACCTTACTTTCGAGTTAATCTTCCCGAACCCTTAGTTTGGGATGAACAGCACAGGCGGTTAGATGACTTAGTAACGGAAACAGATATTGGAGACCTGAAATTACCAAATAAAATGTATCAAAGTGTATTCATCGATCACTCCGCAGAAACTGATTGTGCTCTTTGAGTTCTCTAGGAAGACAGACAGACTCACAAATGCATCACTAAAACAGCAACTCAAAACCGAGAATGCAATTTCACTTATTTTAGCACCAAGCATAACCCCATGAACAGGTGTTAAAACAAACTCATATAACTTCAACAATGAGCAAATATCATGTATTTAAAAAAATCAACACACAGACATATAGAAAGAAGATAAACAACTGAGAGAAGTAATTCCAATGAAGTGAAAAGAATGCCAATGCAATAATAATTTGCTAACGATATTTGGAAGCTCTAATATAAGTTTGCAACAAACTCGTCCTGCCCTAGCTACCATCACAAAAATTCTAAAGATAGCATGAATATAAGGGGCACAGATACACTTCTTTGTGGATGACATAAGCGGCAATTTATCTGGGAGACCATCAAAGCTAATTTCTTTGAAATTTAAAGGCAGATACTGCCAACAAAATTGTAAGCCACCTCAGCTTCCATAAGTCAAAAGGCCTCAATCATTAGTCTTTGGATGCATCTCTGGATGTATCTTCTCTCTCTTCCCAGGCTTAGGGGTCAAACAGATATGATGACTGATAGCGATGTCTATGGTAGCTGGCAGGTCTTAAAGGAAGTAGTGTCCTACAGCAAAGGCACCTAGGTACAAGATAACTTCAAACGTAGGATCTGTTATCCAAAGGTTCAAGAGAAATGTTCCTAGAGATCTGTGTATCAAAAAAAAAAGATTCGTGATTTGGCTCCCTGGATCATACATCAAAATAAAATCCTTGACGCCCATTTTTTGCCAAATAAAAGGATAACTACAGTAAGAAGGGGCGAAGTTAAGGATTTTGTCACAGACGAGCCAGCTTACTGTCATGTGAGGGTTTCTATAACATAAACTCATGGAATTCACTTGGCGTCTCCGCCTCTCTCCCCATGCTCTTTGTTAACTCTTGTTCTTATGGATGGTTGTATCTGCCTATTTACATGGCTCTTCCTATTTTCAAAGTGCCATTTCTACTATTTGAAGAACAAAAAAGAAGAAGAAAAACTGCACCAGCAGAGGCACATCATATTGGAGAGAAGTCCTAATAGTTTCAGCAACTTTCCAATAAATGATCGAAATTAAGCTACATGTGTTGTTGACACAGTTATCAAGTGGCATCGTCATTTTTTCTTTTTAGCAATATTTTGCAACCACATATATGCATGATTATTCATGCATTCCTACTGCCAAAGTCCTGCAAATGCATATATACATTATTCTAGTTCTTATTAGCAAATCTCGCAGCCATAAATACGTTCATTACTGATTGAAAAAAATGGTGATCGCCTCAACCAACTTATTCAGCTGTCCCCCGACTTAATTTAACAGTTGATACTGAAGTAATTAGAATAAAACAAAGTTTGTAACAGTAGAACACAATAGGGAGAGAAAAGTCCTCGAGGCCTTAACATTTTGAAAAGTAATACAGATACAATGGTGCAATGAAATTATCAAGTGACAACACCATTCTCGTTACAAATCATGCAACTGCATAGCTGCATAACTAATTTAATTTCTTATTCTTATTTCTTAAATCATGCAACCACATATAAGGGTTTTTTCTAGTTTCTATTACCAAACTTTGCAACCACATGTACACTCACCTCATTAAGGAAAGTTTGATATTTATTTTGATCTTTACATTCTAATTCAAAATTTAAGAATCGCAACGAATGAGAAGGCCTCATAACAATACAAACCAAGCTTGTGTGATCCTAATCATTAGATTTGGTATACGAGCTCTCCATTTACATGGACTCGGGTCCATATGTGAAGCGAACAAACGAACAAATAAACATGCATACTAATGAGAATACAAATTGGTAAGAGACTTGACCCACTTATCAACCAACGCTCAAATTTAGTATCATATTATATCATCTAACTAAAAATCAATTGGCAATGAATGGACAAACATAATCCTTCGATGTGAGCTAGATGCTCTCTTTACACAAAAATATGATGTTGGTTCGAAAAGAGTTATTCTCATTTAACATGTAAATTTTCCTTCATTGGATACATTAGCCAATGCACATTATTGTTCACTTGAGCAAATATCACACCCAAATCCTACATCAACTTAAGGCAACATATACTTGAAGCCTTTAATTCAATCAAAATAAAAAAGAGGATGGCACTCATCATTTACTTCAATTTTCCAGAAAACCTCTTCAAACTTTCCACTAGTATGCAGCGAATTTTGGATCTCTAAGAAAAAGGTAATTATGCATGTTACTACCGAGAAAAAGGGTTAGTAACTCAGAGCTTTCATGGATTCAGTTAAACACCAATTATGAGATTATTAAAAACAAAAAAAAAAACTTGTTATTGTAACTAAGAGCTCCTAAAACCACTTTTTTCAAACTAAAAAATTCTTGGAAGTACAGAACCTCTAGATCATAATATCTTTGAATGTGCCACAAAGCAACTCAATTCATCCTATGTTCTCAACCACATAATGGGCCCCTTTGAAAACGCCAGCCTCCATGCACTGACCAAAAAGTGCACTTTATGATTTTCTTTCTGCAACACATTACATCATAAATGATAAGGCTCCCAAGGTAACCCTCAATTGTTAACTTCTAATATGCGTCCACTGAATTTTCCAGATAACAGTACTATTGGCATATCAAAGATACATCAAAGAAGTTGAAGAAATGAATAAACTATGTGATTCCCAAAAGGGGAAAAAATCTTCGAATAAAATAAACCGAATAGTAACTGTGAGATGGACAAAGTTTGATGATATATACCTGTAGTTGTTATCACTCATTTGAGCAGAGCAAGGTTGAGACTCTTTTAAGACCACACATGAATTGCATAGTAGCATTGTTTTACCCGTAACAGCTTCAGGCACAGACCCTACGAAGCATCAAAGAAAAATGCGTTAAATCTATAGAGAAAAGGCGGCTTGTGCAAAATTGTAGCCTTTAAAAAAGGTGAGTACAAAGAAGTAGAACCTTTGCAATACAGACAAAAACTAGGATTTTTTCCAGGCAAACCAGCAGTTGCCATTTGAATAGTTGCTTCCAAAGAGTCTGGCAGAGCATTTTTGCATGCACTTAACACATCTCGAAGGGTGCTTCCATTCTCCAAATATATATACTCTGGCGGATGTCTATTTCTACCACCGGCATGCAACTCAAATTGATTTGGGGTCACAACCTACAGTGACCAAAGGAAATATCTACAAAAATTAGTCTTCATTTGCATCATTAAAGCAACAATACGTTTATAATGCCGTAGCACAATGATATCTTGGATGGATATATAAAACTTACTTCAGTTCCATTGCACCTATCACAAAAACACAATATCCCAGAGCCTTTGATGATTCCTTGAAGTCCTGTTTCTGATGATCCTCTCACCTTAAATGGTTTAACAGGAGAAGAAAACCAAACAAAAAAACATACAAATCATTCAGATTGTAACTCATGCACAGAAGAATGCGAACACAAAGGAATGCCAAATTACCATCAAACCACAAATGTACCGCACAGCTATACCCTCTAGCAAACCAGTTCCCAGAAGCTCCTTCAAATTTGTCGGAGATCTCTTTAATTCAACCTTCTTTGACATCTTCATTTCCAACTTCTTAGCTGGATTAACCGCTGCACTCAACACATCACTCTCCGCCACTTCATCAGTTTTCACATGATTTGTCCCCGATGCCTCTGATACCCGCCCCTTCGATTTCAACAGTGAACGAGTAATCCGTCTCATGGGTTTCTCAACCAAAGTACTCTGTCCAATTCCATCACCGACGAGAACTGAACATCCCACAGTATTTCCCAATTCTGTGAAAGGCGTTTCAACTTGAACTTTTTCCACACTCTCATTGATCGGAAATTTCACCGACTTGCTCTGTTTAACCTGATCCTCTGTCTTGGGCAAGTCTTCACACATGGATTCCAAACCTTTGTCGCTCACCTCTTCACCTATATTAACCCGTGTAGCATCCACACTCTCGTTTTCCAAACCCTTCTCGCTCTTGATTTCTACTTCATATATTGGCTTCTGCGCCACCTCGATAGGTTCTTCCTCTCTAATGGCTGATTGCACCAAATTACTCTTTCTCTCATCATCGCTGGTAAAATCCACCACATCGCTCTTGGGCTCCTCCTCTTCACCCACCATATCCAACTTCTCCTTATCATATCCAATCTCATTGCCATTATCATTCACTACAACTTCGTCATTCACAAGTTTTTCCAAATCAGCCATCAATTCATCGTCCAACGAGGTCATTTTCGCATCGTTCTTTCTTTCCTTCAAATCACAGCTCTTAACGTTCTTATGACTCGAATTATTCAAAGCACCATTGATTAAAACCCCAGTCTGCGACCTCGTCACTCGTTTCCGACCTAGCAGCACCGCACATTCCGATTGTTGCTTCATCATCAAGGCAAATTCGCGCTTATTACCACTCCGAATCGAAGAAACCAAAAGCTCATCTGACTTCGTATCGTTAGCCATTGAAAACTTCAATCAATCAACAAGCACACACAAGCATCTGAGGTCAAACTTCAAGCCTCTGTGATTACCAACAAACCCTAGAAACCCAAACGAAAGCCTAGGGTTTCCATATTGAAATAGATAAACAAAAAACGACTGTCACGCAAGACGAGATATGTATTTATATATCAGTCCGAAGTTCGGAGATTGAATTCCAAGAAATCAAGTCCAAGTCGAAGAAAGGGTAAAGACGAGACGTTGCGCTGGTAAGAGACACAGAGAGAGAGAGAGAGAGAGAGAGAGAAGAAAGAAACAGACGGCCTTAAGTTTTTCCTATGCCTAAAACACCCCTGAGTAAAAACTTTTTGCGTTTGAAAATCCACCTTAGAAACTTTTACAATGGCTTAACTACGTCTATTGTATATAGACTAATAATTATAAGTTTATAGTAATGAATCGATGATATTAGAAGTCAGAATAAATTATAACAAAGACAAGTTTAGATTATAGGTGCAATAAGACATCTTTATACCAGCATCACATGCTGTCTTCAATGAAAAACTAAAAAATAAAGAATTTTGAGGAAGTAAAACTTTGAGGGCATATTTCACAAGCAATAAAGTTTATTATGGGCATGAAAACAAAACCCAAAAAATCATGGGATAGTTTCGTCAATGTGAGATATTTTGGGGGTTAACCCAATCGTTATTTCTCTTTCTAATATTCTTTTGTTTTTCGTTTCTCAAAAAACTCTCGTGGCGCGCAAAAAGAACCTCCAACGTCACCGCCTCGAGAGTAACGGGATTAGGGCTTTAAATTGAATGGCCCGGGTCGGGTTGAGTTTGTATTTTTTTTTTTTTTTTTGGGTAAGAGGGTTGAGTTTGTATTTTATTTAAGCCGTACTATGTCAAAACGTGTTCAATTTATATTCGCCATATTTATTTTCTGTTAGAGTATTTTAAATAAAATAATATTTTTATGTGCAAACTTTATCCCATGGCAACTAAATTTTTAAAAATATTTGACTATATATATGTCATAATGTTATCTAACTTTGTAGTTAAAGTAAAACCTTCAGACTCTCACGTGAGCAGGAGTGAGACAAACGGAGGAAATACGAATTTCTAATGACTAATTTTTCATAAGTTATTTTTTTATTTAATTTTAATAGTTATTATCTTATTAAATATGAGAGTAATTATGAAATATTAAACACCTATATTTTTTGTATATATATTTACATATTTCAATATAGATATATACAATCTGAATATCTTATATTCTTCTCTATTGTATAAAATTTTGAGCAATATTGAAAGGTATTGTATGAAACTTCTACTTCTTTGTCGTTTACTTTATATTTTTCTAATTCTATTTTTTCAACAATTTCTTATATAATTAGATTTGTACCACATCAAATTTATGTCGTATGTAAATCGCGTTTAACAAATTCGGCTCATTGCATTTGTGTTAATTCATTTATTTGACTTGTCCAATTAATCCGACTATTTACTACGTGAACCAAATAAGACTCAACAAAACCACATTAATTTTATATTGAATTTATATCAAGTTCGCAGGTGGTGTTAAACTAACAGACTTAAACGAGATTCACAATATATGAGCAATGCTATTAGGACCTAATTTATTGACTTAATTTACTTTGACATTTAAATTAATTGTGGGGTCCATCAAACATTTGAATTTGATGTTGATCTAATGGTTTTACTGAAATTACATTATTATGTCAGTAAATTATGTCAAATTTTTAGGTTCAAATAATATTACTCTTAATCTATTATCTCTAAACTTTCGTAATAATAAATCATCTTTCTTATAATTCAAATATAATTTCATGATGTACAAAAATGGATTTATTCACAATCAACAGTTGAAAAATTAATATGGGTAATAAATACAGTAATTATAAATGTGAAATCAACACAGACATATACAGATATAAAGTGGTTTTGTCAGGATAACTTACTCTATTATAAATACGGCAACGATGGCCAGAGAACTTTATTAATAGAGCACGAGTAAATTCTAAGTGTGGTGAGGTAACTATGAGAGAAATAGTTGTACATGGGATGCAGAGATGTGCCCCTCTCATGGACAAGACTTACAATTTATAGATACAGAATTTTAGTTGAAACGGTGACGTAATAGGTAGGTGTCTAATCTTTCAGGGAGAATAAGTACAATTATAATATGTATAATTAGAGATATTCTTCGTATAGGAGAGTGACTATCACAGTAATTACTCCCCACGTGCAATAATTCTTTTGGACTCATTGGATTTGGGTCAGAATCGAATTCATGAACTGGATTTGACTTGTCTTTTAGCTGATTTGAGCTTATTTAATTAATTGAGTTAGACTCAGTTGAACCTGGGCTCATCAAAATTTATTTTTAATTTTTTATTCAACAATTACGATTGTTTAAACTAACTTATGTACACCTCAATTAATCTATTCTCAATCCGATTAAATAAAATTTATTCTTAGAAAGTGAATTGCACTAGAATTGCTTTGTAGAGTAATCTATTATTAAAATAAATTCGAAGAATATACTGAAAGTGATTCAAAGCTAGAAATTAAAATTCATTTAGACTAACTAAGAGAAAAAAAAAAAAGATAAAAGGATAGAAAGGATCAGAATCACATGATTGTAGATGTTGGAGAACAAGAGTAATAATAACATGCCTGCAGTAGTATAAAGAAACTCATACAGATTAGTTCAATGCTCCGACAAGTGAGGTGACGACACAAATTAATTCAATAATCGAATAATTGATGAAAATGTTATATAACTCAAATGAAAGTTAAAAATTAAAATTTAAATGTATATCATTCATTTGATGAACGTGAGACGAATAGATCCCATTGAAAAAAATTGATAGTATTCATTCATTCAAAGGATAATATGTATTTAAGTTATAATTTTTTATATTTTATTTAAATTTTATAATATTATTCAATTTTAAATTCGCACGAAAATCAAGAAATTCAGTGGCATTGGGATGTACTCCATATGTCAGGAGGTAACGTGAATAAATAATATTATTTTTTTTTTTGGAAGGAATTCAATAAATCCGTGAGAAAATTCAAACGGAGAGTATTATTTTTATATAAAATATTCTAAATAAAAATTGGATGCCAATACATATGACCGTTGGAACAAACTATGAAAATCATGTGGTTTTCAAAAGATTTACAAACATGACCCACAAAAAAGTACAATGCCAATTAAAGGCCAATACTTTTTTTGTAGGCATAGTAACGTCAAGTCAATTAGTTATTGGGGCTTTGATCCAAAAAAATAATAAAAAATTAGTTATTGGGGGCAATCCAAAGCAATCAGGTTGTCGTAGCCTTGACGTTTATGGGCATCTTTGTCTGCCGGATTTGGACGGGTTTCAGATGGGAGAGTTTAAGGAAAATAGTATGATTGAAATTCTAAATTCGAGGGTTAGGTTCCTTTAAAAGTTGGTACATTTAATTAAATTTATTTAGTAAAAAATATATAAAATAAAATATTTTTAAAAAAAATACACAACTAAGTTACAAAGACATAAATGACTATTTTAGAGTCATTTAATTTAAAATCTCTTATTTTTAATGTACCTTAATTCATGTGTGTTTATTAATATATATAAATACGTATATAAATAAATATATATATATACACGTATATATATAAATATTATATATATATATATGTTATTATCTATATTTGTTGTTAAATCAGTTATATATATAGTTATTGTTAAATCTCTTATCTAAATTTTGAATTATTTTTAATGCACTTTGATTCATGCGTTTTTTTTTTTGAAAAATGATTTTGTTTTCAAATTATATTTAATGCACCTTAATTCATACATTTTTTTTTGAAAGTGGGTTTGTTTTCAAATTAATTTATTTAATATTCAAATAGTGTAATAATAAAAGTGTATCAATAACAGTGTAACAAATACACTATAACAAAAACAATGTTCAGTAGTTTGTGCACGCGTGGTAACAAATTCAAAACAGAGATGAACTATTTTGAATAAAATTTTATGAAACTATATGTTTGACAAAATGTAATAGTATAATATTTTATGTAAATAGCTTGTTACATTGTTATTGTTACACTATTACACTATTCGGATATTAAATTAATTTTAAAATAAAACTACTTTCTAAAATGTAATCAAGTTGCATTAATATATATATATATACACATGTATTAAAGTTGTCCTATAAAATTAGGAGATGTTTAATACACCTTTTTTCAAAAAAAAAATATATGGATTAATGGAGGACAAAAATGTTACAAAAAATCAATAAAATTCAAATAATGTACTTAGATATAAATAAGTATCAAAATTAAGAACTTAATTACCCAGTATTTTTTTCTGTGTACTTTTTTACAATTAAGTTTAATTTGGTATACCTCCTTCCAATTTCCCCCGAGATTTATATTATGGTCCGCTCCTGGCCCATAAAGAAAAGTGTATTAAAAGTCAAGTATAGGAGTTTGATGAAATTCATGAGAGGTTTCCAGAAATGGAAGATTGGATTTGAAGACAAAAAAATTATTTTACCCAAAAAATTATTCTTTTATTCACCTAATTATAATGGATATTTTAATAAATTGAGTAACATCTACATAATAAAATATCTAGGAGTTTAAATTTTTATCTCACACATATTTTTCCTCTAAAACCATTCAATCATTCAATTCTATCACATATTTAATTATTTAATATTTGATTAATTTGTTGTATAACATAATTATTGTTTCATACATTGTCCATACACGATAATGTACACATATTGAAAATTTTTTGTTGAATTATACATTTTGAGAAAATTTTGATGTTATTTTAAAAAAAATAATAGATAGAAATTAATTTTAAATGATATAATCAAATAAATGAAGAAAAAAAATTATTATTTAGTATAGTAGGATCAATTTTTTAAATAGGTCAAATTTTATGTTTTATCGTACTTTCAGATACAGGTTATAACTAGTTATTTGATATGAATCCATAGACCCAACATATATTTATATCACCTATAAAATATGAGGTTGAATTGAGTTTTTTATTGAATTGCATGTAAAATCCTATTGGTTTGGGTTTGAAGGGGCTTCTTAGAGTTGATCCAATCCCCTTCCAGGTGCATCATCCAAACATGCTCTAAAATAGGGGATGACAATCGTGTCGGGTCGTGTTGTATTTATATCTTATCATTTCAGATTAATGTCTAATAATAGTTAACCCTAACTCAAACTATTTAACTAAGTGTGTCAC